TTCACTCCATGGCCTGTGCTTTTTCTTTATGTGTGTTGATAATGTCCTAGCAGTGTGCTTTGTGGGTCAGAGAGACCCTTTTAGAAGTCAGGGCAGCATGGATGATGACCCTTAGGTAGAAGAGACCCTTAGGTAGAGATTTGGAAACTTCTGAATGGCTCCAGGTTCTGACCAAAGCCCTTGTTCAATATCAGCCTATCTCAACAAAGTAGACTTTGAAGAATAAAAGCTGCACTTCATAAAGCATTTGTGAGGTCATTGTCAATATGGCAAAAAGTGCAGGGAGGTAACAAAACATTCAAAATAATAATGTCTGATCTTCAATGTAGTTAGAAAAATAAACTTTGATTCCTGAATGAAGGGACTTTTTTATGATTTGCCTTAATGTACAAAGACAATGAAACTGGGGCACTACTTGGTATGTGTCTATGTTTTGTTTTGTTTTGTTTTGTTTCCACTTGACAATATAATTCTTGTTCATTATTTACCTGTTGGAGTTGGAAACACAACTTGAATACAACCATTCATTATGGAAACCTAAGAACTTACATAAATATGCTGAGGAATGAATAATATTTATCAACTATATAAAAATATCTACCCATTTATTCTCTCACAGTTCTGGAAGCTAGAAGTCTGAAGTTAAGAAATATGGCAGAGGCATGCTCTCTCTGAAGATTATAGGGAAGTATCCTTTCTTGGCTCTTCTTAGCTTCTGGTGGTTGACAGCTATCTTTGATAATCCTTGGCTTATAAACATATCACTCCAATTTCAATCTCCATTTCCACATGGTGCTCTCTGTGTGTGTGTCCAAATTTCCCTTTTCTTATGAAGACACCAACCATTGGATCAGGGCCCACCTTAACTCTGTATGACCTCATCTTAACCTGGTAACATCTAGATAGACTCTCTTTCCAAATAAGGTCACATTCACAGGCTCTGTGGTTTAGGACTTCAACATGTCCTTTTAAGGGACACAATTCAATCCATAACAATAATTTATGGGGTAATTTTTGCAATGATTTTGGGCCATTTGGATATCCCCTTTTGTGGAGTACTCATTCCAGACATTGAGTCATTTTAAAATTTGTGTTGTCTCTCCTTTTCTTCTTGAGTCATGAGATTCTTTTTGCTTTCTGGACACAAATCTATTGTTAATCATGAAATGGTACTGAATTTTTTTCAAATGCTTTTTCTAAATTTCTCAAAATGATTGATTTTTCCTAATTTATGCAAGTAACATGGTGAATTACTCTGATTTTTGAATGTTAAATCAATCTTAAGTTTGAGAAATAAACCCAGTTTGGTTGTAATGCATTATCTTTTTTAATATATCACTGGATTTCCTTTGGAAATATTTTGGTTAAGAATTTTATAATTATGCTCATTAGAGATATTTGCCTATAATTTTATTTATTATAATATTCTTATCAGGTTTTGATATCAAGAATATACTAACTTCATAAAATTAAGATTGTCTTTTCTGTTTTCTGAAAGACTTTGAAATTTGGATTTTTAAAAATTGATTAGAAAATTTCACATGCAAAATTACTCAGGCCTAGTTTTTTTCCTTTATCACTTTACATATTTAACTTTTTGTTATTAGGCGTCTATAAATTTAGGTTCATTATATCTTCCTTTAGACTCAATCCACTTGAGGAAAATATTCTACTTTATCTGCAGTAATACTTCTTGCTTCCAAAACTACTTTATTTAATATTAGTATTATTATATTAAATTTCCATGTATTTACATTTAATACTTTTATATTCAGCATATAGCATATAGTTGGTTTTATTTTCTCTATTTAGCTGACAAATACAGGTTTTTAATTATAATATTTAGTTCACTTGTACTTACTATAACCACTAATATATTTGGGTTTAAATATCTTTATTTATCTTCTACTTGTCTTTTTAATTTTTTTCTTTGGTAGCTATTATCTTTTATCCTACTAAAAATTTTATTCCATTGTCTTCTACTGTCAATAATTTCTATTGAAAAGTCAGCTGTAGCTCTTATTAATATGCCTTTAAAAGTATTATGTCTCCCCACACTCCCCTGCATTGCTTTTCATTTTCTATTTGTCTTGGATTTCCAAAAATTTTCCTATGATATGCTTATATGTGTTTTCTTTGTGTTTGTCCTACTTCAGGTTCATAGAGCTCTTTGAATATTAATATAGGGCTTGTCATCACTTAGTTTTGGAAATTTCTCTGCTATTACCACTTCAAATGTTGCTCTGTTTATTTTCTCTTTTATCTTTTTTTTAGACTCTATTTTCATATATATTAAATATGTGCAGCATATCCTATACATTTTTATGCTATTTTCATATGTTTTCTGCTTTATCTCTCTATGCTTCAATATATATTTTATACTGACCTGTGCACCTGTTTATTAATCTCTCATTTATAGTATCTTATGTTATGTTAAAGCATTCTTTTTTTATGTTCAGTGTTTGAATTTTTATTTGATTATCTTTATGAATTCTAGTTCTTTACTAGAATTCTCCACCTTTTTAAATTTTTTAAGCATGGTAAGCATACTTATTTAAAGTCCATGTTTGTTAACTCTAATTGATAGCTTGCCTTTAGGTTTCTTGCTGTTGTCTTCTTTTTCTTCTTCTTTCTTTTTTCTTTCCCTCAGGAGCTTGTAATTTGGTCCTCTTTCCTGGCACAACTAGTAATTTTGGATTGAATGTTAGACATTTTGTTTGAAAAATTTCAGAGGCATTGGATGATTTTATCTTCCTCCAGATATGATCTTTCTTCTTTTGAAGATAGACAGATTGCCTTGGTCCAATCAGGGAGTAAGATAATTTGATGCTGTAGGTGGTTTACCAGGACACCTTCTTCTTAAAGTTTTATTTCTATTTGCCAGCCCCATGAATCTAATGAAATCTCTTTTTAGCTTTCTAGCTCCTTGGAAGCTGTTTTGAACTTCTACATACTACTTTGATATTGATAAATGCCTCTAGAAGAATTTGTGCTCAGATTGCTGAGTTCAGTTTTCTGTTTCTCCTTCCACAGACTCTTAGCCCCTTACTTGCTGGCTGCATTGGCAGGCCTAAGCTTTGATTTGATTTCCCCAACCCATTAATTCTGCTGCAATATTTACTCTTTCATATTTTTAATGCTATATCTTCATTGCAAATTGGCAAATGGCCCAAGTGCGGGGGTAGAGGGTGGGAGGGCAGTAGCAGCAAATGTGCATATAGTTTACCTAAATTCCTTTCCTTTCCCTGGAATCTTGGTTTGTCAAGTCCTGGAATCCTTGGTTACTCTCCATTAAACAGCTGTTTTTTGTATGTTATCCAGCAACTATAAATAGTTGTTCTTTGTGGGAAGGTTAGTCTCATATAAGCTATTCCTTTCCAGCCAAAAGTGTAAGTCTTGCATTTAATCTTATAATATGCATTTCCCACCAGATGATATATTGGGAGCATTTTCTATGTTATTGAAAACAATTTTAAAAATGTAACCTTCAGGAGCTATATAACATGTGACTATAAAGAATATATCACAATTGACTATAGCAATTTCCTGATATTGAGAGTCTTCAGGATACTTCTAACTTATTTTATTATTTCAGGTTACAAAAAGACTTCTAACATGTTTCCCTAAACATATTTATTTTTATATTTTGTATGTACAAAATTGCTTCTGGCGTATGATGTAAAATATATATGTATCAGCAACTGCTAAAATTTGTGTGTCAATCAAACAACTGGGAAGTTTATGTGATATAAGCAAATTTTACCTGACTTTATTTGAAAGATCAATCTGTTATTCAGAAGAAACTGGTGAATTCACTACAAGTGAAATAGTTATGGGTTTAAATCTGAGTTTTATCACTTTACTACCTGGTAGACCCTGAACAAACTACTTAGCCTCTCTGAGCCTATTTTCCCACTTCTTGAAGACAAATAACAATATCTATCTTCAGAGTTGCTATGATATTTTTTGAAAAAATAATTATCTATTCATGTGTCTATATATGCCAAAAGCTCCCCAAAGGGAAGATTCAGGCATTCACTTATTCATTCATTAAAAAAAAACATTTATTGAGCACCTATGGCCTGAGGCAAGTGAAGTAAATTTATGCTCATATGAAGTTTACATTATAGAGGGGTTGAGACAGCCAATAAATAAATAAATATGTGACATAATTTTCAGTTGTTAATAGTATTATGAAGAAAAGTAAAGCAGGATAAAGGCTAGAAAATGATTGTGGCAATGCTACTGATTTGAAATAGTTGTCAGGAAAATTTTTTCAAATAACTTTGAGTTGAGATGTATGAAAGCAAACCATGTGAAAATATGGGGAAGAAATTTCCAGATAGACAGTATAGTAATTGCAGATGTCTGAAATAGAGAAGCTCCATGGGTTCATGAAAAAGGTAGAAAGTCAGTGTAATGGGGATGGAATGAATGACGAGGGTGCCAGGAGGTGAGGGCACAGAAGTAGGCAGGGGCCAATTCAAGAAGGGTTATGTTGGCCACGGTTGGTGGAAAATCAAAGTTTGATCAAGGGAGACATGCAGTTTGATATTTTTGCATTCAAACATTCACTTTGGCTGTTGTATGGAGAATAGTCCATAGGGCCCAACGTGGAAACAGGGGCTATTGCAGTTTTCTTTATTTTAAATTCCCAATACCCAGTACAATGTCCGGTGCATACTTGTAAACTATCAATGGTAGCTGATATATTTTTAAAGAAGCATCTGGACTAGGGAATATACAACAATCTCAAAATGTCTGCTTTTGAATTATGAGCTCACCAGTGAATATAATATAGCACAAAGCAGATACAGGCAAACTACTTTTGCTGTTAATTGAGGTTCATTCAAAAGCATTTTGAGTTCACAGGTAAACAATGCAATGTCAGGATTTTCAAATAATTTTGAAAATGAACATCAATCAATAACTATCCATTATGGGCTGAGAAGTGACTGCCAGGTGAACCAGCAGTAATAAACAGCAACAGCTTCTTCATCCTTGTGTTAAAGCAGGAATCAAGAGTTGGTAGTAAAACTCCACTCCAGATTTCTATCTGTGAAGAAACATTAGAACATTTTTTTATCATTTCAAACCTTTAAACTTTGATGGTTTTTTTTTACTTTTATTTATGATTATTATTATTAATTATTATTTTAGAGACAAGGTCTCACTATGTCGCCTAGGCTGGACTACAGTGGCTACTTGTAGGTGTGACCATTATACACTTAAGCCTTGACCTCCTAGCTGGTCTTTTTAAAAATGCTCTCTGTGAAGTAAAACAAGGAAGCATCTTCTTATAAATCTGTTCTTAAGTGTTCTCTGTAAAATGTCAGAGGGTTGAGAAACAGGTATTCAGGTATTTGGAGAAATCTATACTCAGTGGTACTAGACATAATTCCCCCTAATAGACTTAATAATTCTCATCAATGGAATGGTTTTTGGCTCCTCTACTAGCATCTCCCACAGCATTAGTCAGTGCTAATTTATTAGTAATAAATATTGGCTGAATGAATTCCTGATCCAAGAGTAAAGCAGAAATGATCCAGAACATTTATTCACTTGTTCACAAAAAATATTGTGAAACAATTTCAATGTATTCGACACTGCGATAGATGGTAGTAATATAAATGTGAAAAAAAAAAATAGTCTAGTGAAGGAATCAGCCATTTTTTAAAAAGAAAATTATGAAAACAATGGATTAAGTGCCAGAATGAAAGACTGCATTATAATGGAGAGGAAGCTGGTACAATTAAATGGAAGTTCTACTATTGGCCTTGGATACTTAAACCAAGATGGGTGGGTGGTACTCAGCACCTAGGGAGAGGTAGGTACCATTGCTGGGTAAAGAGAGATTATCCTAATCCCTCTGAGTTTACCTTGGGCCACAGACTTTTCCTGTTCTCTCCTCCTTCCTTACCGGCTGGCTAGTTATTTTCACACATATATTCTTCAAGATAAATTTTTGAATGATTTCACCAAGTTCCAAAAATAAACTCCATGATAATTTTGATTGACATTTTCTTAGTCTTATGCACTAATTTGAAAGAATTCACAGTATTAAAATACTTAAGATAACACTCGCATATGAACACAATCTGCCTCCCCATTTATTCAAATACTAATTTATATTATATTTCTCAGTGTAGTTTCATAGGTTTTCTTAATTTTCTTCCTGAACACTTCCCATGCAGATTATTCTTAAATTTTTGATTTTTTGGCTCATGATGAATCTGAGTACTTTTTGTATTTATATGTCTAATTGATGATATCTGATATACAGGGAAGCTGAACTTTAAAATTTTATCTTATGTTCAGCCACTCCTTAAATTTTTTAATAGATCTTAAATTTTTTTTCAGTTAATATTCAGAGTGTAGCAAAAATAAAAAACAAATTTCCTCCTTCATTGTTTTATTTCATGACATTTTTGATCAGCCAAATTTCCAGAACAAAGACAAAAGACCAAAGGACTTATCCAAGGAGAAGATGCACCTTTGCCTTAGGATTTTTCAGAGCTGGCCCCAGAGATGGCTGAGGCCCTTGTCTCTTTTGCCATTGACCTTAGCATGCCTTATTGCTCTTTTTCAGTTGGGAATGCTCTTAGTCATGGAAGGTCTTATGTCTACTGTGTGCTGGGGGTGAATGCTGCCACCCCAAAGTATAAATTCTAACCAAGTGCTCTTCCCATTATTCCCTTTCTCCCAAACTTCTGGATTTAACAGGGATTTACACAGATCCTATCATGGGAATGACCTAAGTCCTAAAGCTTTGGCAGTGTTAGATCTCACCCTGAAGATACAAGCTGCTAAAGACATCCAATGCTACTTCTCTTGTGAGCTCAGCCAGCCACCTTATTCCATATTCTCTTGAATGTCTCAGAGAAATCTCCACCTTGACATTCCTATAACAAAAATCTTGATTCTATCATCAAACCTACTCCCTATCTTAATCAATGGCACCAATTTACACTGTGTTGCTCAAGCAAGAAACCTGGAAATTTCTCTTGATTTCTTCCTTCTCCTCACCAAACTCCTACCACCATCACATCCATCTGCAAGTACATGTTGAGCCTACCATGCATGCTATTAAAATCTGTCTACTTCTCTTTATCTGCATTGTTACTACATTTGTTCGTGACACCATAATATCTTGCCTGAATTACTATACAGCTTCCTAACTGATTGCTTCACTTCCATTCCCGCCCAGAATGATTCCAGCAGCCAAAGGAATTTTCTTAAAACTTATACTAAATGTCATCTCTCCACCACTGCTTTAAGCACATACAAGGCCTTGGAATAAAGTATTAGTCTTTTACCCTACCCCAGGGTCCTCTATGAACTTGGCCTTGTCTATCACTCTAACTTCATCTCACATCACTTTTTCTTCTCCACTTTTTCTTTTCTTATATCCTAGCTGGCTTTTATACTGACTTTTCCTCAGTTCTTTGAACAGTCCTTTGCAGATTCTATTCCATATGCCTGGATTGTCTATTTCCCTACATGTTGTGTAGCTAATTGTTTCTCACCCCTTAGATCCATGGTCTTCAAACGTTTTTGATTCTCTATCATGGGGAGAAACATTGAACCTACACTCCCAATTCAGCTATATTTATTTACTTATAAACACACACAATTACTAATTTGCTAATATATTATGTACATTATAAAATATATGAAAATATAGATACATAAGGAAGATATTAAAGATAAAATATATTTTAAATAAATGATTATTTCACTTTATTAATAGTACATTGTTAATGATAATTGATATAAATCCTTATTTCAAGTCATACATACTCAACTCTATTTAACTCCACAACAGAGCAAAGACCTTATACTAGGAAAAGATGCATCAGTTGCTATTTTCTTTTTGTTGCTTGAATTTGCCTTATTATAATTATTTTTTTATCCACAGTTTCTTTGGAGGAATCTACTAAAGCCACTTGTCAATTTTGTCAGTGTTCACTTATTTAAAACTAGATAATATAAACTGGAAATCCACTTACCCACACAATTGTAAACTGTTATGTATTTAATGTCCATGGGAAGGGAAAGAACAAGTGAGGTTCTGCTGTCTGACCCCCAACATTGTGGAATTCCCTTTTCCCATTTAAGAGACTCAAACCTACTGTGTGTGACATGTGGTCATCTCACAAATGGACAGAGAGAGAGATCATCAGTAGATAGAGTAAAATTTAACTTCTTTCTTATTTCTAGATTAAAAAATATCAATAGAGGTTAACATTTTTCTATGTCTCAGTAGATCTCTGGCAGAGACATTTTTCAGTAAATCCGCACTCTTGAGAACACTACTTATTTATCAGCTTAAATGTCACCTCCTCTAAATACCTTCCATGATTACCTGCGTGAAGCAGGTCCCATTATCCCTGCCTCATGTGCTTTATTCACAATTATTATGATATTTCTACATATGTATTTTATCTATAATATACAGTTGACCCTTGAAAAACATGGGTTCAAACTGTGTAGTCCACTTACAGGCAAATTTTCTTCTGCCTTTACCACCCAAGAGAGCAGGACAATGTTGTCCCATTCCTCCTCCTCGTCAGTCTACTCAACATGAAGATGATGATCCACTTCCACCTAATGAATAGTAAATACATTTTCTTTATGATTTTCTTAATAGAATTTTATTTTCTTTAGCTTACTTTATTATAAGGATATGGTACATTCAACATCCAAAATCTGTGTTGACTTTATGTTTTCAGCCTTAGTCAACAGTAGGCTATATTAGTAGTTAAGTTTTGGAGAGTCAAAAGTTATATGTGGATTTTCAACTGCAAGGAGGTCAGCACTCCTAACCCCAGGTTGTTCAAGGAACAACTGTGTATTTTTATATTTATAATTCTTTGAACATTGGCAATTATTGACTTGTCTGTTAAGTTGTTCTATATTTTCAGGCTCCACAATGACAAAAACCCATGTCCATGTCCATCTTCTTTCAGCATTTATTCCCAGCCAGCCATACAGTTCTGGGCTCTGTAGATAGGTATGAAAGTTCAGCAATTCTCAGCTACAGTTTGATGATACATTAATGTGATATAAATAATTATAAGGTAAATGGCAAATCATTTTTTGTTAATAATATTTAAACAAATATTATTTGTAAATGGCTTTTAATTTAAATTAAGAACTGAATGTATCACTATAATAATATTGCTTTTGGTTGCACTCATTTATAATGTTTTAAATGGAGGAAGATATATCGAATTTCACCCTGTGCCAAAAGAATAGTGCATCATCTACACCTTATGTATAACCCATCTCATTCTTCACATCAAGGTGAGCTTCATCTTTCTTGGTGAACTTTATCTTTCTTGGTGAACTTCATCTTTCCTATACATCATGGGACACTGGAGGTTAAGAACTGGTGACCTATGGAGGGACAAACAGATGAAGATGTACAACATGGCCTATGGGCAAATAGAGATATTGATGAAGTGCTATGGAGAAGGCAGAAGTATGCCCTGATTGCTTTTTGGAGTCACCACATCTCAGTGGGAAAAACTTAGGGATAGACAGACCTCGGTTCTAATCCTACCTCTGCAATTGCTAGTGGAATGTTCATGTATACAGCTTTTATACTCTGAACCTTGGTTCCCACATATCCAAAAATGACAATAATATCTCAAGCTGTCCTGGTCTGAGAGGATTATTGTGAAAATTAAATGAGACAGCCAATAAAAAAACATTTGGTTAACCTTAAAATGCTATATAAATGTTTTAATCAAAACCATTCTCTTCTCAGTTATCCCACTGAGCTACATTCAATTCCATTTAATAAATATTTTATGAGCAGTTATTATGTTTCAGACAATATGCAGAGAACCTGGGACAGAGAGTGGATGTAGACCCTTCCCTCAAATTCTTGAGCTTCCAGTGGGAGAGAGACGCACAGATGACTACAACAGACTACAACAATGTGATTCGTGCAATAATAAACACATTATTATAGTCCAGAAGAAAGAGCAGAGAAACAGGACGTGTGAATTCAGCCGTGTTGGGGGACTCAAGCTTCAAGGAAGGCCTGTGGGAGAGCAAAGCCTGAGAACTGTTTTGAAGACATTTGGGGATAGGGGAAGGCTTTCCCAGCAGAAGAAACTGTATGTGGCAAGGTATAGCGCGCCAGGAGCCTTGGACCAGAATTGCCTCTCTTCCTGTGTGTGTGTGTGTGTGTGTCCGTGTACATGTTGACAGGGGAACAGTAGACAAGATGGAAGGAGACCCTCAGAAGCTCTCTGTGATTCAAGTATAAAATAAATGCAAGAGAGGTAGGAGATGGGATAAGAGGGGTAGAAAGAGTTTGGTTTGAGAGGTTGGGAAAAATCTTACTAGCTTATACATAGTAAGTATTTAGGCCTTTCCATGATTTGCTCACAAAATATGATCCCTTTTATTATTAACTCCATTTTACAGATGAGGAAACAAGCTGAGTGAGGGTAAATGACTAGTCCAAGATCACATCAGTAGTTAATTGTTGAGCTTGGATTCATTCACACCTGGCTCTGGGACCTCAGAACCTAGGAGGTGATTCTTCACTGAGAGGACTGAGTTAAACTAGAGCCGACATTTAGCACCCAAACCGACCCAGATCATTATAAACAAAGCAGCAGAGTTCATTTTCATTTCCACCATGCCAACTTCCTGAAGCATTTGTCTTCCTTGATCCGGGATGGGATGGGGGCCTCTTAACCCTGCATTACAAAGTCATGTTTCTTTGTCTTCTTCCAAGTGGAGCTGAAGCCTTTCAGCCAAAGAGGAGACACCAGGTTTTATTCCTTTAACAACAAGCCCACGAGCCAACTTGCTAAGAGCTGCTTTCTCCTTCCCATTACTAAATACAGCATTACTAAATTTGACTGACCCGGGGAAGTTCTATGGAGACGGAGTTTATAAACTCTCTTCCTGTGACATTCCCCACCCCACCCCCATTCCCTGCAGACACCAGCCTGGAGCTTGGAGCCCCCTCCCCTTGGAATCCAGGCTGCCGGGAGCTGCAGAGACCTGGAGAGCTCCTTCTGAATCTGGTCTTTGCACAGTAACAACCTCATTGGGTGCAGCCCTACCTGCATGGGTCACCGTGTGATGAACCCATGATTAACCTTATTCTTCAATCAGAATTTTGATCTAATCTCTGGGGCAGCGTGGTTAACACACATGGTCTTTTGTTTCAATAGAGCTGAAGATCTGAAATGTAACAGCTTCAGCTAAGCCGAGGACCAGAGGAAAACCACAGAGTTCATATTACATATATTAGTCTTTTTTGTTTTGTTTTGTTTTAGATGCAATTCTCAACAAGCTCAAGCAGACCTTGGGTGGTGGAACAGCTTCCTGCAAAGGAGTCTCTCCTCTCCCGTGGCCTTGCCATGCAAAGGACGCAGACACAGCAGTGTGTATTTTGCTTGGCTGAAATGTAGCCTAATCGCGTTTTGTAGACAGGCTGGAAGTGGCCACCCCAGAGCTGAGAGTCATGGAGAACATTCATTTCTGCCACCGCAGACAGCTCAGCCACAAACATAGATGATGAAAGGGAAATTGGCATTGACCTTGCTGCTTTGCAAGGAGCAGATGGGACCTGGAGTCTGGTTAGCAAAGAAAAATGAACTGAGCCTCCTTGGTAGTGTTTGAAGAACAAGAGCTGGACCCAGTAGAATTCTTCAGTCTCTTCCTCATTGCTACTTCTCTGTGTGTGTGTGTGTGCATATACACACACACTTGCTGTGTCTGACATGCAGGGGAGAGGGGATCCCCCTTGTCTATGCTATAGCTCCCTATTGCACATTTGGCTTTTGATCGACATATAAAACTCCCACAGACATCAACAGGACAGTAGCTCAGAATGCGTAAGAGATTTTTGCTGTTGTAAGAAGACAGGTGGAGAGAAAAATGTTACTGACACTACTTTCCAATCCCTCCAGGAACCTTTTTTCAGAGGAAGGAGTTTTCTCTTAAGGGAGTAATGCAGGAAGTAAAAAATATAGCTGATGTAGCCAACTGCATAAGACACACCCAGCCCAGCTCCACAGAGTGCACTGTTGTCCTTTTGGTTTTGCTCCTATTGCTTTCTTCTGCCAATAATGTCCTTTATCCTCCCACTTCCCACCTGGCGGAACTGTCATCTTCTAAGTCCCAACTGGATTTTTACTTCCTTCCTTCAGTAAAGCCTTCTTTGATTTTTCTGCACTCAGAACAAGTCATTTCTTCTTCTCACCTGAAATTTCTTGGGAGAACGAAAGCTACACCTAACACATATTTACTAGGTACTCAATGCTGACCCAGTAAGCCCCGGTAACAGCAGAGCCTGAGTTCAAACCCAGACTCTCCCGCGGTGGAGCTATGAGACTTTGGGATTATCCTCTTTGAGCATCAGTATCCTCCTGTGTAAACCTGAATGTCAGTGACCCCTTCATAGGGTAAGTGGAAGTATAAAATGAGGTAATGTACATAAAGAGTCTAGCACATAGTAGGTAATTTAGCATGTATGGTTTCCTTTGCCCAGATGCTGGATCTAATTCATGTTTGTATTGTATGTTTTACAGTTCTCATCACATTTTAGGCATAAAATAAATCTTGAGGCCGGGCGCGGTGGCTCATGCCTGTAATCCCAGCTCTCTGGGAGGCCGAGGCGGGTGGGTTGCTTGAGGTCAGGAGTTCGAAACCAGCCTGAGCAAGAGCGAGACCCCATCTCTACTATAAATAGAAAGAAATTAATTGGCCAACTAATATATATAGAAAATTAGCCAGGCATGGTGGCGCATGCCTGTAGTCCCAGCTACTCGGGAGGCTGAGGCAGAAGGATTGCTTAAGCCCAGGAGTTTGAGGTTGCTGTGAGCTAGGCTGACGCCACGGCACTCACTCTAGCCTGGGCAACAGAGTGAGACTCTGTCTCAAAAAAATAAAATAAAATAAATAAATAAATAAATAAATCTTGATTAATTAAAGTAAGTAGAACTTTTCTTTTTGCTACATAAGCATTTCAAGACATTGAAATCAAACAATAACAAAAATAACAATGCAAATGAAAATAATGGCAAGCACTAGTGCACAAAGGCTTAGTTTTTGCATGCATTATCTTATTTTATCTTCATAAAAATTCTGGTGGGAATTTATTTCCATTCTGCAGATGAGGAAACTGAGGCCACCCAGCTGGCCTCTTATGGCATCTAGTGATGCAATAAGATTTCAAACATAACCCTAGTGCTTGGCTGTCATTTAGACAGTGATTCTTAGACATGATTGTATAACAGTATCACCTGGGGAGCTTTTAAAAATGCCAATGCCTGCACCCCAACATCAGATGGAGACTTGATTAGTCCGAAGTAGGGCCCAGGGACTGTTTTTAAAAGTCCTGGGTGATTCCATATGCAGCCAGTGATGAGAACTTCTGACTTCAGGCACCACTGGAGTGCAAGTTTTGTATCTTAACATAACTCATGTACTCCAGCTTTCTCTTGCCCAGACTAAGTAGCCATTTAATATCCAATCAGAGCATGGAGTATCTTAGCTTTATGAAATAGCTCTAATAAGGGAATTCTGTCAAACCTCTCTAGCAGGCCTGGGTACCTGAAATTGGTATATCTGATGCAACACTGACTCCTAATAGTAATGCTTGAATGATGCAGTCAGTTAAATCAGTCATTTGTTTGCTCAGCAGCCACTTTGAGCCCCTACCAGGAGAAATATCCTAGGCTAAGGACTGGAAAATTAGACACAAGTAAGACACAGGAGCATTACTGGCCTGAAAGGTACTCATAGCCCAACGAAAGAGGGAGGAATGTATGCAAAGGACTAGGGCTCAGTATGGTGATGTATTGGGAGAGATACACGGCGGCTGTGGAAACCCATAAAGGAACTGGAAAAGTCTCCCACCCCATCTTCACCTTACTCCTGACAGTCCTCTCTTACCTCAACCCCCACATTCATGGCCATAAAAAGTTTGTAGCCATTAGGGTCTCAGAGGGATAGGGGTCCCAGATATTCTACAGAATAGCAGCTGGTTGCAGGCCTGAGTTCCTTTTTAGCATCTCGCCATGAAGGAATAGGGGAGCACTCAGGGTCGCAGACCCTTACCCACTTGGGGGGATGTGGAGGAGAGGAAGGGTTATAAAGTTCTGGAATTCTCCAGACATATGGCCAAGCTCTTTGGGAAAGTCACTCTCACCTGGACCCAGGGCACTTCAGCCAAGTGGACAGGTCCTGGGCTGAGTTCTGCAAATCCAGGGCTGGAATGTGCTATTCATTACCCTGTAAAGGCAGACATGGATGCACAGAGAAAAGCAGCAGCCACAGAAGAAAAAGAGAACACAGAGGTCAAAGCCAGTGATACTACATCCCTCATGGGCTAGAAGGGGCAAGTGTGGCCTGGGATAAAGATA